GACATAAATAAACTCTGTTTTGTTCAAACTAGCTACCAGCTGCCTATGCCTCTGTTTTAAATTTTTTGACTTTAAAAGATGACAATCGCACCAATATTAACTTTAGGTAACCAATATACGTTACTCTCTCTCCCCCTCTCTCTCTCTCTGTGAAGCTTATTTAGCAACTTCAAATAACTAATTTGTATATACTAAAAAATTACTTAAAAATAATAAATCTTCAAGAAATATTTTTTTTCCAAATATGCCATTATTTATAACAAAGGTAAGTGGAGGAGACAAAAAATGAGAAAAAAAATGTATAGGACAAGATAATGAGAGAGACTATGTCAAAGAATAGAAATTAAATAATTAAAGACAAAAATAAAAAAAAAGCATTAAATGTTGAGAAAAATCTAAATTAAAACTCATAGAATGGACAATAAGTCTTCCTAAATTTGAAGTTTATAAATAAGATGGGATGGGGGTGTGTCAAATTAAATCTTTATTCGGTGTTAATCATAACAATAAGCACTATAATACACATACCACCCAAAATCTAATGTGATGGATGGTTCATATTTAAAATTTCTAATATACAATTTTCAATGACAACTTTATTTTGTAAAGAAGTATTAGTTATAAAATTATCTTTATTTTAAATTATATATTAAAATAATAAGTAATTTAACATATATAAAAAATTTACATTAAATTTAGATCATCTAAAACCAATCCAAATGGTCTATATAAAGATGAGCACTCTATGCTCATATTGTCTATGAACATGAAATAATCTTCCATTTTGAATTTAAAATAAGAGAATAAAATATGCCGATTATCCTTCTATTTTATTTTAATTACAGAAATTTTTTTCTATTTTGAAAAATATATATAAAACTTTCTTACAATTAAAACATGTATTACACAAACCTCCGTTCTATATTTAAGATTCAATTTTCATCTATCATTAGTTAACCATTAAGTTTGACTTTGAATTATTTTTTTAATCAAAATACGTCTTTTTAACTTAATAATTATGTAGCCATTTATTCCAAAAAAATGTTTCTTATAAATCAAAAAATAATGCTAATACGTACATTTTTAAAATTTCTAGCATGGTATAAAATTTATTAATTTTGATCTAAATGATAAAATTTTATAATTTTAACATTTTATCACATTCATTAGAAATTATTTACTTTGATCTCTTTTAAATTGTAAAAACATATTTTAAATTCATAGTTTTTGTTTATTGTAAAGTTTAAATGATATAAGTTTGAAATATTTTATAAATTATTTAAATTTATAATTCAAAATTTTTAAACGCATCTTTGTTACAAAAGTTTATAAACATATTTAGTTAAAATGTATATATATTTATTGAAAAAATCAGTTAAATTTTTAATCAAGTCTTTTATGTTTACCTTAACTGAATAAAATTCATGTAACTGTAAAAATATAATTTAGAAATTTATTAGAACAAAGGGTAAAATAATAAATAAAATTTATTTTAATATAAATTTAAGCTAAAAATAATATTTTAAGAATTTTTTAGAATATTCCTAATAGTATTAACTAATTGAACTAAACTATATGTTTTTAAAATAGAAGAGATATTTATATAATTAATGCAAACTAGAACGATAGTCAGAGTATTTTACTCTTAAAATGAATACACTTAAAAATAATTTTCGATCAGTTACGTTACAATTAAATTGAAAATGTTTCGTATTTAACCCACAAAATTAGCCAATTCTGTCCTCTTTTATGAAAAGAAAATTATGTATCATGCAATAAAATGTACAAGGATGAACCTGGTCAGCATAATTCCAATATCATCAAGAAGATATTGGAATTTTCATGGACAAACGGGAGGAGTAGATATGATGTATACATGGGTAACAATAACAGTGTACTGGCTTGCTTCCATGAGCAACCTATCCAAGTACCTCTTCACCGTTTAGTTTAATTTCTCAAAAGCACTTTTATACAAATCGAAAAGATATCACATACTAAATCCGGTCATTAATATAAGAGCTAGTTGACTAATTTATGTAGATTAAAAAAATTAACTAAACTAATTATTTAAAATAAGTAGGTGTTGTTTTTCTTACCTTACTAATCAAGTTAAAACTACTATTATTACTATTATATAAAAAAACTACCATTATTACAAGGATTATCTTAAAAAAAATGAATAAATATAAAAGACCAAGTGAACTGGGATTTTATATTTAAAACCAAAATAAAAATCAAACAAACTTTCATATTAAAGATAGGAGGTAGTATTTTCCTTTAGAGATGAAGTAAACCAGGTCTTCTTTCAGAAAGATGGCTAAAACTATGCAAGACTTGACGCTGCCAGTAGACTTTAGTCAACATGCTCCATCATGATCATGGGCTTTCCTCAAATGAATTTCGGAGGAAATTAAAATAGATTAAAAATAGCTTCCGTCCGCTGCCCATTCCTTTGTTACCATTTTGGGTGTAAAATGATGGGCGCTAATTACCTTTTCCTTTTGTAAGTGGTATTTAGTATCCGGAAGCATGTCTTTTGTAACATACTGTTTTTTTTTTTTAAAAAAAAGATATCAATTAATTAAAATATTAAAATATTATTATTGTATTATTATAAAAATAATAATAAAATAGATACCCAGCTTTCCATCGAATTCGGTGGAAAGCCTGGGCATCATTTAATTGAACAAAGAATAAGGGGGGGGAGGTGTTAATGGCCGAAGAAAAACGGGGAAGTGGCAGATGGACGTAGAAAAATGGGTAAGGGGCGGTGGAAAAATTTGAAACATGGAGGTATTATATATATCATCATCCCCCAGTTATCTCCTTCAAGTAAGAGCAAGAGAGTGCGGGAGAAAAAGAGAGAGCGAGAGAAAAGAAAGAGAGCGAGAGAAGAAAGGAAAATCAAGAGAGTGTGAAAGTACATGCTGTCTGAAGGATAGGAGAAGATTTGAGGATCATTTAGGTACACAAATATACTTCTTTTATCAAATTTTCTTTATGAGTATTTCTTAAATATTTAGAGCTTAATATTATTAGTATTATTATAATGTTTAGAGAAAATTTTACTATTTGGGTACAGAGTAAATATGGAGTTTTGACAATATATGACTGTAGAAATTTAAAAATCCATTATTAAGGAATTTTAATCGGTTTATTTTTATTAATGATTATTTTGAGAATTTTAAACTAAGATTTTAGTTGAAAAATTTGTTATTTAGACTTGTAATATGTTTTTACCGATTAAATTTGAGTTAAATAATTTATTTGAGTTATTTAATATATTATTGAGGTTTTAATCGGTTTAAATATTGAATAAGTTAAAGATATATTGTTTGAAATAATTTTTGAAGGCTTGAAAAATTATAAATTGAGAATTTTGTAAAATTAAATAAAGCTACAATTTGTTTATAATTAAGAATATATATATATTATATACTTTTGTTAAATTTAAATAGCCTTATATGTAAATTATTTTTCAAAATAATATCTATTATAAATGCCTAGATTTGGGAGAGTTAATATATTTATGTAATTTTGGTTTAGAGGGTAGTCTTAGAATTTTAGAGTAGCTTTGGAGTAGTTCTGAGTTTATATTAATAAATATTTATGTGCAATTTTGTAGACTTGAGAATTTTGGAGTAATCTTTGTGTGAATATTTGTAAGCTAAAGAGTACCAGGTAACTCTGAAAATTCTTTCTTGTACATGTGAATTGTGTATGATTGTATTATGAATTTACTGTATTTTTATATATTGAAATATAATATTGTGATTTTTCAAATGAATGTTTTGGTATGTTATTTGATTTTGTTAAGATTTATTGCTGTTAATTATGATTAATAATTAAATATATTGATGGCTATGGAATTGTCATGATTGTTATTAAATGGTATATAAGTTTTATTGCTATCTTATTTTTATATATTTGAGGACGTATTTATGATGTAATATTATTGGCATCTGACATGCATTGTTGGGCTAAGGATAGAAGGAGATTGCATGGATATAAAATTACCACGTGGTATGCCATCACTCAGTGCACAGTGGATGGCACTTGTCAGGGCCCCTTCTTCCATGTTTTCCTTTGGCCGGGAATTCATTGGAGCTGTGGGACATGTGACACCTCCCTATTCACAAAGGAGGGGAGCCATAGTCCGAGCTTGAGCTCTATATCTTTGGCCGGATATATCTCTAGTATCGGTGAGCTTGGAATAATTCAGTAAAATGGATTAGTTCCTATCGGACTATGTGTTAGCCTATGGCTCCAGTCAGCGGTATAAGGGTGGACGGTGATATAAGGGAGGCAGCATATTGCATTATTTTTGGATATATTAGAAAAATGATATTGGTATATTGTTGGAAAAAAATAAATAAAATTTAATTGGATGTCTCAAATCCGTGATTTTTAATATATTTATATACACACATATAAACGGATTTTTGGTTTATCATATATGATTTGCTTGTATAGGTTAGAATTTCAGTAGTTACTGAGACGTTTGATCTCACCCCTATATTAACAATTTTCAGGCGAAGGATCTAGTAGAATCAAGGGAAGGCACCAATGGAGTGAGCCGTGAAGGCTTTTGTGCTCCTCAAGCACATGCTATGTTATATTTTTATTTGCCATGACTATAAGACTTCAATAGTTTATGTTGTTAAGTTATGTTAGAAATGTTTTGAAATGTTGGCTTATTTGCAGTATTAAAAATATGTATGGACTTTTAAATTAAATATTTTATCGAGTATATTTATATAATTATGTGAGGTGTTACATTTTTGGTATCAGAGCTGTAACGTTCCATGGTTTTTTAATTAACTTTTATGTAAAAATTTTTCCAAAAAAAAGGTTTAAGAAAACAAAATTTTGCTAGAGGTCATGGCAATTTAAATATAATAACATGTGCACTTCCCTTTAGTTTTTAGATTAAAAGTTTATTTTAGTACTGTTGCTTAGTTTACCTAGTGTCCCTGTGCTATTCTACATAGGAAGGAAGGATGGTGAACACTCGAAGGACTAACTCTACCCCAGTTCCACATCAAAATGTTCCTTCTCGTCAAGATAATGATGCTATTTTGCGAGAATTACGAGATTATGTTGTGAGCATTGATCGAAGAGTGAGGAGACAAGAGGATGAGCTGCTAGTAATCAAAGGTCAACATGATAGTCATCAAGAAGAAAATGGCCCTGTTGATGATAAAGCTCCCAGTGATCACCAGTCAATAGGTGATACCCTTAGAGGCATTGAATCAAAAGGCGACAGTAGTGCATATTCTCAACACAACCTCGCGCGTATCACACTGCTCTGGGAAAGTTTTAGGAAGTTCGATCCTCCTAAATTTGAGGGTAGGCTGAATCCATCTGAAGCTGAAGAATGGATCGAAAGGTTGGAAACTATATTCAAAATAATAATCTGCACCTCGCAGGAAAAAGTGCAACTTGCTGAGCAGCTGTTACAAAAGGCAGCAAGGAAGTGGTGGGACAGCATCAAGCCTTTTGAAAGTGTAGAGATAACTTGGGAAAGGTTCAAGGAGAAATTCTTCCAACACTATTTTCCTAATGCCCTTAGAGCGGATCAAGAAGCAGAATTCTATGCCTTCAAGCAAGGGAACTTAAATGAGGAAGACTTCATTGCTCGATTTCTTGAGTTAGTCAAGTACATTACTTATCCGCAGACGCAACCTGACTCAAAATGGATGGCTGATAGACTACTAGAAAAGGCCAGGCCAGAATTAAGAACAGCTCTGGCACCCTTGGAGATTAATGATTTTGAAAAAATGTGCACCAAATTGCGAATCATTGCTAGAAGAATGAGAGAAGAAGAAGCTGAGAAGAGAAAAGAATCTTATACAAGGTCCGTTCCATTCATGAGACCTGCGGGAGGAATCAGTAAGAAGAATACTTACAGCTTCAACAACTCCAAGAAGCGGTTTAATCAGCCCTCGAGGAATCAATCTGGTGGACCTTCGAGGAGTCAATTCAGTGGACCCTTGAGGAGTCAATTCAATGGACCTCCGAGGAGTCAGGTCAGTGGGGGATAGAGCTCTTACAGGGGTTCTACAGCTCCTATCACTAGCACCGCAAATAGTCAAAGGTGTGCCAAGTGTGGGAAGGTGCATCAAGGAAATTGCATTATCTGCTTCAAGTGCGGGAAACCAGGCCACATTTTCAGATTCTGTGAGGAAGGCTCACGAGGTGTCAATGATACTAGAGCTGCAGTCCCGGGAAGAGTGTTTGCACTATCTCAAGAAGAAGCTAACACTTCTCCTAATTTGATTAAAGGTATTCTCAAACTCCAAGGCTTTGAAACTCAAGCTTTATTTGATTCTGGTGCAACACACTCATTTATATCTAATGATTATGTGCCTCGTCTAAGTATGCATATGTATGAATTGCCTTGTGATGTGATTGTCTCTACACCGGCGGGAGCCTCGGTGAAAACTTCTAAAGCATGCTTGAATTGCATGATTGAATTTGAGGGTAGAACATCCACTATAGACCTTGTTTGTCTACCCTTAAAGGGTATTGACCTGATTGTAGGAATGGATTGGTTGTCGGCAAATGACGCCATCCTAGATTGTAGAAGGAAGACCATTTCTTTACCGGTCGCCTTCGCCAGTTCTAGTGGGCCACAACTGCTGTCTTTAGTGCAAGTTGAAAAGTGTATTCGAAAGGGTTGTCAAGCCTACATGGTGTTCTTCTCTGTTCACACAACAGCTGAAAAGGCGTGTAGAGGAGATTGCAGTGGTGAGTGAATTCCCGGATGTGTTTCCAGAGGAGATAACAGGTTTGCCTCCGGAGAGAGAAGTGGAGTTTCTATTGATCTTGCACCTGGAACTGAGCCTATCTCTAAAGCTCCTTATCGGATGTCTCCATCAGAATTAGCAGAGTTAAAGAAACAGATCGAGGAGTTGCTGGAAAAGGGCTTCATTAGGCCGAGTGTATCTCCTTGGGGTTCGCCTGTGCTCTTTGTGAAGAAGAAGGATGGGAGCATGAGACTGTGCATTGATTACCGCCAATTGAATAAGGTAACCATAAAGAACAAGTACCCTTTGCCCAGGATCGATGATCTACTTGACCAGCTATCTGGAGCGTCAATATTCTCTAAGATTGACTTAAGGTCAGGTTATCACCAATTAAGGGTTAGATCTGAGGACATCCCAAAAACTGCATTTAGAACAAGATATGGCCATTATGAATTCCTTGTTATGCCGTTTGGGTTAACCAATGCTCCAGCTGTCTTTATGGATTATATGAACAGAATCTTCCGACCTTACTTGGATAAATTCGTAGTGATCTTTATTGATGACATCCTTATTTACTCTAAGATGAGGAAGAGCATAAACAGCATCTTAGAATTGTGCTGCAAGTGTTAAGGGAACACAAACTCTATGCAAAGTTGTCAAAGTGTGAGTTTTGGCTCAAAGAAGTAAAATTCTTGGGTCATGTTGTATCAGCTGAAGGTGTGTCAGTGGACCCTTAGTAAGATTGATGCAGTGTTAAAGTGGGATCGACCACAAAGTGTCACAGAAATTAGAAGCTTTCTAGGACTGGCAGGCTACTATAGGAGATTTATTAAAGGCTTTTCGCAGATAGCTGTGCCCTTAACCAGACTAACTAAAAAGGACCAACCGTTTGTTTGGACTGAGAAATGTGAAGCAGCCTTTCAGACTTTAAAGACCAAGTTGACCACCGCACCGGTACTTGTGATTCCAGACCCTACACAATCTTTTACTTTGTATACTGATGCTTCTAAGAAGGGTCTTGGGGCTGTATGAATGCAAAATGGTAAGGTAGTTGCTTATGCTTCTCGACAATTGAGGCCGCATGAGGAAAACTACCCTACTCACGACTTGGAATTGGCAGCAGTCGTATTTGCATTGAAGATTTGGAGGCACTATCTCTATGGTTCGCAGTTTGAGATTTTTAGCGACCATAAGAGTTTGAAGTACTTGTTTGACCAAAAAGAACTTAACATGAGACAAAGAAGGTGGATGGAGTTTCTTAAGGATTATGATTATGAGCTAAAGTATCATCCAGGGAAGGCAAACGTTGTAGCAGATGCCTTAAGTAGAAAATCTATCCATGCAGCCCAATTGATGGTCAAGGAGTGGAACCTGCTGCAAGATGTACAAAGTACACCTATTGATATAATGTCTGGGTTAGTTGCTACCATGAAAGCACTAACCATTGAGAGTACAACTTGGAAGGAAATTAAAATTGCCCAGTTGGAGGATGAGTATCTACTAGGGGTTAGGGAAGAAGTTGAACAAGGAAAAGAGTCCAAGTTTAATATTGGTGAAGATGGGATACTAAGATATAAAGCGAGAGTGTGCCTTCCCAATGATAAAGAGTTAAAGAAGCTACTACTTGATGAAGCTCATAGAAGCAAATATACTATCCACCCTGGAGTGACCAAAATGTACCATGATCTAAAGCGAAACTGGTGGTGGCCTAGTATGAAGAAAGATGTAACTGAGTTTGTCTCTCGTTGTCTAACTTGCCAAAAGGTCAAGATTGAACACCAGAAGCCTCCAGGATTATTGCAAAATCTAGAGATTCCAGAATGGAAGTGGGATAGTATCTCCATGGACTTTGTCACAGGTCTTCCTAGAACTCAATCTGGGCATGATGCTATTTGGGTGATTGTTGACAGGTTGACTAAATCAGCTCATTTTCTAGCCATCAAGACAAATTACTCTTTGGAAAACTAGCACAGATCTATGTGAAGGAGATCGTCCGATTACATGGCACACCAAGGAGTATTATATCAGATCGAGATCCACGATTCACTTCAAGGTTTTGGAGATCGTTGCAAGACGCCATGGGAACACGGTTGAGGTTTAGCACTGCCTACCATCCCCAAACTGATGGACAAACAGAGAGAACTATCCAGACTCTTGAGGACATGTTAAGAGCTTGTGCAATTGAATTAAAAGGAAATTGGGATGATCACCTTCCTTTAGCAGAGTTTGCTTACAATAATAGCTTCCACTCAAGTATTCAGATGGCGCCTTATGAAGCATTGTACGGAAGAAAGTGTAGATCTCCACTTTGTTGGACAGAGTTGAGCGAGAGAAGTTTGATAGGTCCAGAACTGGTGGATTACACAACTCAGAAGATTAAGATGATACAACAGAAGCTGCTTACTGCCCAAAGCAGACAGAAAAGTTATGCAGATAGGAGAAGACGACCATTGGAATTCATGGTAGGAGACCATGTATTTCTAAGAGTCACACCGATGACGGTATTGGAAGATCAATTCGAGCAAAGAAACTCACTTCCCGTTTCATAGGTCCTTATGAAATTTTGGAGAGAGTAGGACCAGTGGCTTACAGAATTGCCCTACCTCCACAATGGCAAACATTCATAATGTATTCCACGTGTCACAACTCAAGAAGTACCACCCAGATCCATCTCATGTGATCGAGCCTGAAGAGATCGAGTTACAAGAGAATCTTACTTTCAAGGCCGAACCTGAACGCATTCTGGACGTTAAGGATAAGCAACTTCGGAATAAAACTATTCGGTTGCTTAAGGTTTTCTGGAAAGGAATGTCTCCTGGGGATGCCACCTGGGAAACCGAAGAGCGAATGCGGCGTGATTTTCCTAACTTGTTTGATTAGGAATTAGCATTGTGTTAGTTTTGGTAATTGTGTTTTGTTGTATTTGTACTTGTACTTGTTATACTTGTGTGGTGCTGTTGATATGTAGTATAGATATTTGTGATTGTGTCTGTTACTTGAAGTAATTTTTCTTTCTCTTTTCGTGTATGAATTTTGAGGACAAAATTCTTTTTAGGTGGGAAGAGTTGTAACATACTGTTTTTTTTTTTAAAAAAAGATATCAATTAATTAAAATATTAAAATATTATTATTGTATTATTATAAAAATAATAATAAAATAGATACCCAGTTCCATCGAATTCGGTGGAAAGCCTGGGCATCATTTAATTGAACAAAGAATAAGGGGGGGGGGAGGTGTTAATGGCCGAAAGAAAAACGGGGAAGTGGCAGATGGACGTAGAAAAATGGGTAAGGGGCGGTGGAAAAATTTGAAACATGGAGGTATTATATAT